AGTGGAAAGCTGCAAAGTTCGTTTACACGCTGAATTTTCGCTGTTGAAAAGATTTAAAGGAATCTTGCGCGGAAAATTCTTGCACTCTTTCCTAACATGAATATGTCAGTTGTGATCACTGGAAATAGCACACAAAGTTTCACGCATGAAGATTCGGTTTCTGAAGAGAAACAAACGTACAAAAACTACACGTTATGGACCATCGAAGGACCAGGAGGCAGAGCCAGGCGAGGCATGGAAAGAAGACGGCGTTTGGCCGGCTACGTACCAGGCGACGCAATGAGAGAATCGGGTTAAAGCGCGCGATTTCGGAGAGTGGAGACAAATCGATCGATGGAATAGGATGGAGTAGAAGTGTAAGATGTGAATGCAACGAAGCAGAAGGCCAGAAAGAGCTTCTAGTGAATGCACTCCAAGAACCAAGTTTGAGCATCCCCGTCGCCAGCATTCGTGAAAGACGTCCGTGGGCAATTCGAACGCGTAGCAGCCTTTTCGAGTTTTCGAATTTCTAATCAAAACGAAAGCAATACTTCAGTTCTTTTCACTATTATCGTGGATAATGAGTCTCAAGCCAGTGATTTATGGCTGAAATAGAATCATGATTTTTCCGCGCAAGATTCCTTTAAGGATATATCTTCAGTGGTGGAGGCAACATAATTAAACTTTCAGAACACTTGATTTTCCAATTTTGTGCTATGGGATAGAAGCGAAACGGGCACGAGGGAGCGAAAAGGCTGAGTGTAGCAAGGAGGCGACTTAATTTGTGTTTTGCTGCACTCAAAAATTTGAACTTTGAATGTCGTACACTACGAGTTACAATTTCTATACAATTTTCTACAATTATACTGCAAATCAAATTCCTCTCGAATTGCAGTAATTATATATTAAGCACGATTTTTGTGCGCTTATAAGACTAACTCGAAACCAATAGCTCATTTGGAGAGGCAGACTTCAGGCCTTTTTTCTCACTTCCTGGAATGAGTGGAGGAGCCTAACAACCTGGAATTCGGGTTCATCTGTTCCGGAGAAAATAAGATATCAACTACAGATGCCGCGAGATGTTCTACGTCTCGGAGACGGACATGTTGAAGGCGATGCGTATGGCGCTGTACGATGAAGTGATCCGAACTCCGGGTTATATTCAGAACGAAAATCTTACTGGCCTCACCGACTTCGTCACCCTCCTGTCCAATGTATGTTTGCTTTTCGATGAATATATCTATATTTTAGAGGAAGTCTATTCAAAAAGAATAGAGAGGACCGTGGGAGAGCCATGGGGTTTCGGTCACATCTAGCATCTTGTCGTAACCTTTCCACGTCCAAGGGATTCTTCCGTTAATGTGAGGCCTCTACTTTAATCATCAATAAAACAGGGACGATTATGGATGAGCTAAGGATAAACAAAGACATCAAGCTTATGAGCAAGAGGAGAAGAGGAAGGGGAGCTAGTTTCCCTGTAAAGGTTCAGGTAGTGCACGTTTACCTCACGTACACTCAAAGTACCTATAAACAGCTCAGTCGGGTTAGGCTAACGATTGCTAGCCCTGCTATGATTCTTCATCAGTCTACGTTAATTCCCATCATACCTGGTAGGATTGCATTTTTGGTCACCCTTTAACAGCACCATCTTGGCGTGCTTGAACCTTCTGGCTTCTCAAGTCACTCTAGTTTTATAATGACTCTATCAGTCCTCTTCTGCTCCACACAGATAATTCATTGAGCAACATTTCAGCACTTTCCCGTCCTTTCATTTTCGAACGAAATTCGACGATCGAAACGAACCACTTCAACGGTTGGTCCTTGCCTTGCTGGTTTCATCTCTGAGATTTTCGGAGCTTTTATTTTTTATGCTTCACACGCACCGTAATTACATGCGAATGTGCATAGTGATCCCTAGGTTATTAGCTTCTGCAATGCCTCCATTCAGCCTTTTGTAATTATAGATTCTTAAAAACAGCGAACGCGCTCGACTGGTCTTCATACATATGAGAGAATTCTTGGAATCGCGCAAAACTCGGAATGCAGTACCTGTTGAAGAATACAGACGCCAGTTTGAGAATGTTGAAGTAAGCTTCCATTTCTGATTCAAGAACCATGAAGGAAAAAATGCAAATTTACTACGGAAAAATCCTTAGAAACTTTTTTGTATGCAAAAATCTACATTATACCGTTCACAGTAACGCCTCAGAAACTGTGGTGCTAGCAATTGAACCAAGTGAACTCTCACTTTTTCTGAAAAAAAAAATAATATTGATGTTCGATAGTGGGCCGCTCCCATGATTTGGGTCGTCTCGATAACTTCTTTGTATGATTGCTGGGGACAGGGAAATTGCGGTGATCCCCAAAGTCAATTGTGCTATTTCATGCGATAAATTCCTCTCGCAAATGAGGTTGCCGTTCTTCAACCGCAGAAACGGTGCCACTTGGGCGAGTCAGAATGGGTGGCAAGGGTGCTAAAAGCTTAGAACATGTCTCTCCTCTTGATGCATAGTGGCCCTTTCGACAGCCTCTCTCCTAGTTTCGTAGACTCTGCCGTCGCCCAGGAATAGGAACGTCTTTCCATCTCTTTCCTACGGCTTTTTTTCTGGCGTCACTTATGGCCTTTCGCACCATTAATGGATTCCCGCTTCTCCTATGGCGAGATGTGTCTTTGGATGTAAAGGGGCGGGAATGAGGAATGAACTCTTACGATTTTTCCACTGACGGTTCCTACCAGTATACCAATCTTTATTATTTTTTATTTCAGCGGGTGTATGCCCATCCTTTCCCCGTCAACGCTTCATGGCAGCATTGCAAGGGAACCACGCCGACGTTCAGGTAAATAGCAAGAAATTGTCTAAAAAGCTCAAATGTCCTAGTAAGCTCAAACTGATGGTTTCAAGGACATAGTTAGGAGGCTGCTTTCAGTCATTACACTTAGAACCTAGATCAATGCGAAATGTGGTCAGAGTGCCACGACCTCCATTCATTAGGACACTTTCCTCCCCGATTTTCACATCTCTCGTGAACTTTTTGCATACCCTGCCGCACAGCGCTCTTCTTTTGCTAAGTCCTTGTTGCGCATAAGCTCCACACTGTAAAACTCTGATTTTTTAAATTTCAGGTCTAATTCGAAAAAGAATTTCAGGGGTTACACTTGTGGATTGTGGACAACATTTCACGCACTCACTGTGCACACGTACATCGACACCATCAAAGACAGCAATGTCAATGCGCTGAAGCCCCTCAAAAGTATTCAGGTGAATAACTATTTCTGAACGCAGTTTTTTCTCACGATAGGAAACGTAACAGATTGGATGTTGCTGACAAGGGAAGGCTCCCAGGTCGCCATGGCCATTCAAGAAGAGATGTATACCACTAGATGTGCCTTGAACGCTGATCTCAAATCTACCTTCCAAATCTGCTAAACGATTCTCTGAACGGAGTTATGAAGCAAAACAGCGCAACGGTAGTGGTCGGGACTCACAGTCAAAATGTCGTAGGATCGGTCCCTTATCGTAATTACTGTTTTGCATTCTTCAGGAATTCAGTTATATAGGCTATTAAAAGCCGTTTAGCTTATTTCTGAAGAATGGAAAACAGTAAACACGATAGGGACCGATCCTACGACGTTTTGACTGTGAGTCCCGACCACTACCGTTGCGCTGTTTTGCTTCATAACTCCATTCAGAGAATCGTTTAGCAGATTTGGAAGGTTGAGATCAGCGTTCAAAGGCACATCTAGTGGTATACATCTCTTCTTGAATGGCCATGGCGACCTGGGAGCCTTTCCTTGTGAGTGGGTGTACCTAAAATCGGTTATATCCGCGTGAGATTGTTATATATTTCCTGAGTTCGCAGCTATGCCTTCTTCTTCATCGCTCTGTTGAAGTGCGCCTTCTTCAGAAAGTTTTCTTTTCGTGGTATCAGCTTCTTCTTCTTCAGGGATGGGTGCGCGGATTCTTCGGCTGTCAGCACTGCAAGAACCATTTCATGAACATGACGACTAATATACTACCAATGACTGAACGACGAGTGAGTGCTCAACATCCATGAGCGGGCCTGAAGGCCTCTCTTAAATTTTTTAAGAAATGTTCTGTGGCTGAGACTGGTGACTTTTCCAGGTTCGGCATCCGCAAGATATGATGACGTATCTGTGGAGAGCACACAACATTGTGAACAATCGTCTTCACGGCGATCCCTCAGAAGATCCACAATTCACCAAAGTACAATTCCCGCCCCCGTTCCTCTGCCCAACTTGCCACTCTGGAGGACAATTTAGCAGACGCCAGGTAACGACATCCCTTCAATTTTCAATAGTGTAAGAAGCCAAGCTATTCCCTCGGTGTCCTACAATCCCAATAAGAGCAAACTTTGCCGCGGAAGCACCTATTGTCACATCTTTGAGCAGTTCTTTACGCTCTCCACTGAACAGTATTCCACTACACGAACACCTTTATCGCGATTGCTGCGTTCGCTAGGATACCCGACCGAAGGCTCGTCGCGCGGCATGAAGGCAGAGTCAGTGGACGTGTCGCAACGGGGAGCGGTCAACAGAATCGTCCAGTAGTTGCGTCACCGCGTGCGGCCGCTTGAGCGGCGACGCAACGCCGCACTTTCCCGATTTCCGGGATTTGTGAATTCACAGTTGGATCAGTGAATTTCCTGAAATTGAAAATTGAAAAATGCAGATAAAAGATAAAGGTTTAAAGAGATTGAGATTATTCGCCTTCGACTGAAGTTGGATATTAAAAGATGTCCCTTCTCGGCGTCCTTTTAACACCCAAATTTGAATGGTGCATACTAAAATTCATCCCCTGCAGTTGCGACGTCGCGGTCACAGCCAGTAGGGCAGAATCTGGACGATTCTGTAGACATACACCCTTCGCAGCGCATGATGTGCGATGTAGGACGTATAATGCTACATTCTGTCTGAATTGACGCGATATCACTACAGCACATCGGCCTTGTTGCGGCTCGACGGACCTCCTGTCGGGTACCCCGTTCACTACATATACATATATTACTGCTTCAGCAGTTTTAGCAGAATTCGATTTTCCCAGGCTGAAATAGACCCCTGTAAGCCTGCCTCCTTTGCTTTTCTTCTCGATGTTGATTCACAACGAACAAAAATCAAAATTCCAGGTCCGCAACTTCCTTTTGCGATACTACGGAAGCATCAAACCGCACAATCGCCTCAGAAATCGCCAGCTTGCATTCTTCTAAGAAAGTGGAGGTATCGTGTGCGGACGAATCCGATCATTTGCAGTTCTCTGAAACGTTAGATATCCGTCTAATTCTTATGTACATACATTGTGTGATCGCACTGAACTTTATTTGAAAGTGCCCAATATTTTCGCTTAACTATGCGGCGGTTAATCGTGCATAGATTTCCGTAGCTCTAACGGTCAACACTTCTCAGGTACTCTGTAGGAGCATTATAACGGTAATCCCTCACGTATAATGAAAGCTCAGTTGAAAATTTCTCCACTGGCACCGTGCCTCGCTCCTCGCCGAGTGATCTGAGGTACTTACGGGTTTTGGGTGTACATTTCTGATTGCATCACTTTTTTCATATGTATGAAATTATATGTGGAATGTCATTGCTGTTTACCATTGCAATTTGCTTTGTCGGTTTCTGGGTATGTCACATAGTGTCTGTTCTCAATGACAGAGTTTGTATTCTTCTTGTCACAAATCGTTTACTTGTTCGGTAGTCTAAATGAACAATACTGAAATGTTTGTCACAGCTACAACAGAGTACAACTAATAACGAGATGGTCTGGAATTGCTTTCAAAACCACTCTGCTCACATCTTGGAAACAAGACCGACATCTGGAGCGGGATCTAGGATCAGTTTCTGCACTTCTTTGAACTTTGGATGAGAGGCGTCTCGAAGCAATCCGAGTAGCACACATTCCGAAGTGGTCAACACAGCCCCAGCTCGATCCATCTGCTTGAAGGCATACTTTCTGCAAAAATGTGAACCAGTTACTGAAAGAAGGTTGACTCTGATAGCACTGCTACATATTTCTGAATTCGCGCGCATTCACGTTAAAGCGAGGGATTACGATAAGATTGGACTGGGTTCACGGTGAAAGTGGAGATGCTGAATAATGCCTCCAGTGGCGAAAAAAGCAAAGAAATCCGTCAAGAAGGCGCAAAATGGGACCCTTTCTTTGCCCGTTGACCTCCGATAATGGACGAGCTAGCAACCAATTAGGAGGTCGTTTGCACATGTTATGCTGATAGCCTCTATCATTTCAGCAAGCATCATGCTTTGATTGATCACGCATCCCATGAAAAGTTATAGGATACACTCTGGAAGTGGAATATCTCGTCACATTGGCAATCGAAGGGCGCTGCTGCTGGGGGCGGAGCACAGACCGTGGCGGGGCTCAGAAAGGAATGGCAAGCCTTGTACGCTGCAACTAGCGCACCTTTGACCACAAAAACGCAACATTTCGTTTCCTTGGGCCCCTGACTACTGCTTCCAATGGTGCATGTACTTCCACGCTGCATACGCACTTTATCGTAATCTCTCGCTTTAACTCAGCATAGTTGCAACTATGGTAAGAAGACTCTGATAAGGGCTGGTTTCACAATCTACACGTGCTTTGCACAAAAAGAATTGCTGCTAAGCTAGTTGGTTGTGGGGTGAATGCTTTTATATGAGGATGGTAATCGTGTGGTGCACAGTTTCCATACTATTACTAATGATAGGCCAAAGGCATAGCGAATTACGTCTATGAGAATTACCAACACTGAATATTTTATTGCCTACGGCTTTATCTTTATCTTTAATTAGTACGCTGTATAAGACAACTTTAAAAAAATTTAATAAACAGCATAAAAACAAAAACCTGAGAGAAGATCACTAAGTAGTAGAATGGAGAGTGACAACCATGCTTGGATAATATGGGTTGTTACTGAACGCTTGAAGAAAGCCAAAGAGCGTCAAAGGAGGAAGCTTTAAAAAAAGAGGCCTAAAAGCACTCCCTTGATTACTGACGATCCACACATACTTCTAATTGTCTCATAAGTACGGAATCACTTCGGCTGTTTTCAATTTTAATTTTTTTAATTGTTGATCCAAACTAGCTCTATATGTATACCTCTACTACCTACAAAATATTGTCTACACAGGAGGACTGCCTTAGCTGGGAATTCCATGGACTTATGGCCTGGAAAAGACCAGATATCGGTTGTGGGATGATATCTCTTATCCTAAAATTTCCTACACAGGAAAAAAGCGAGAGACCTAATGTGGTCGTCCTTAGTTGGCACCGGGTTGGGTCTAGACGGCGGAACTGAGAATTTTCAGCTCGAAAGGCTCCAGTTTTTCCGAATGTCTCCAGTTCTTCCACAGAGTGCAGTCGGACGATCTCAGAAAAAAAAGACTGCTGTGCTCTACATTCCGCTTGAAGGCGTCGCCATCAAGTATTGAAATTCGTCACAACTGACTCTGGCATTATTGTGTGCCATTCCCAGCGCGAAAACCGTCTCTTATACCACCAACATCTTAAAAGAATCGAATCTGGAAGAGGACTATTGCTGCCCAAGCTCCCGAATGGTTGAGCTAGGCTACTGATGCTAGCATATTTCTTCAAACACCGCACCAGTCCACATCATCGATGAAAATGCTGTACAGACAAATTCACGAACAATGGGAAAACAAAAGGAAAGCAACAATGATGCTTTCTTTTGGAGCTGGTTCGGGCTCGGACTTTGAGGTACAAACCCCATATGTCGAATTTATCCGTTATGGAGATGTTCGGAGGCGCAGGTAACGGCAATTCTGTCCAGGTCCATTCACGATGACGTCGAGTAGAGCAGTGACATTGCCAGTCGCGGGGCACTGAAGTGTGGATCATGTTCAAATAAAAAAGCCAATCCCTGAATGGAGTGAACCACCGTTGCACCGTATATCGAGAGAACGTGCCCTTGCCTATCTGCTGGTTGATCCTCTGTTTGGCGTTTGAAAGATCCTAATCAGAAGATTGAAGAAGGGAGCTCAAAAATAGGTTCCAGAAAAATTGAAGTATCAGCCACGGAAGGCAGCATGAAATGGGCTGAGTAATTGCTCAGGTAGGATAATGTGGGTGCTACTTCGCAAAACATGTTCTCACGCCTTTAATATCTTTTGGAAACTTTACAGCAATAAATGTGAAGCGATTCTCTGGCTGGGAACAAACTAATCAAGTTGGTATGCTTGTCAACAACCGCTGGAGTGTTAAGCTCCAAATAATATGTATTTTTGGTTCCTCATAAAATTACCAGAGAAAATTTGGGGCAAAATCACACAACAGTTGTAAAAACAGTTTTCGTGATATGGAATTTTTGTATTGCCTACAAATTTAAACTTTCTGTTGTTCTTGGCTCACATAAAAAGAAATATCAAATCTATACGAAAATCCTATCCCTCTTCGAAAAAAAAAACTCAAGCAACATCAAAAACCACTTTTCTGCGATATTTCGGTCACGGTTGTTCAGGGCGTTCCGAAATGTAACCGCTGATCTCCGAGAAGTATTGTATTTTGAGTTCAAGGGTCGGCTAGTTGTCTAGCAGGAGAAGCTCGGTGTTCAGTCGATCAGAATATCGGAGGAAAACGTCGCAAACATTAGCAATGCCGGTTGACAAACATTGACAAAAGACATCATCAACTTCCTCGAGACCTGTTATTTCTCTGCAAACCTAGTGAGCTACTTGGTAACAAAATAGTTTATAGTATAAGATCCAAGCGCTTCAAAGGCTCAAAGTAAGTCCAGCCTGCCCAGGGGTTGCCGCCCTTCGCAGTCAGGGATCAGGTGAAGTTAATCAAAAACGTCGCCCGGGCAGTTAACGATCTCTTCTTACTAGAGCTTCTTTTTCCATAGTCCATTGTGGAGCAGCACCATAAGGGCCTGTCCCGGAATGGACGCCCACACTACTACGAAGTTTTTCTCAATGTTGATGAACTGATGTCACGCAAACATCATAGAGCGCCCACCGTTGAGCAAACAGCTAATTAACACTCGACGCTGAGTATTCGTCAAAACTTCGGCTGAGTAACAAACCGCAAGCTGGCGCCCCTCTGGCGCCATTTCGGCGGTTATATGAGCAAACAGAGACACCCGCCTGGCTCCACGGGAGCGGCGAATAATATCTTAAGATGATGGAAACTAATTCAGCGCAACGAAAAAGGGGAGAACCACGAGGATAATTCAGCGCAACGCAAGAAAAGGAGCGCAAGTGAGAGCCACGAGAGCCGACTGAGTAAAAATGCTGAAGAGCTATGACCCATTATTGTACCGCAAACCTAGGTAGCGGAATGTGCCTGAGGCAATGCAGTGCATTTTCAATGGGTCAACTTTCCCCATGATCCGATCTATGAGAAAATAGTCTTTCGAGGTCTTCACATTATGCCAGTATCTATTCATTGACTTCGATTTCGGTTGGAGCAGTTGAAAAGTAGAGCAGAATATTGATGAATAAAAAGCAATACAGTCACGCAGGTCAAAGTTCATCAAGGACGAAACTGTAGCCAATTTTCATAAGAGCAACAACTCGAACTTCAAACACGATGAGTAACGATTTGCCTTCAAGATCCTAACGTAACATAGAAGCTTTAAAAGATTTTAAAATCGGATGTAAAAAAAATTGGCAAATTCCTGCTTCTTATATTGTTCACAATTCTTTCTGAGACTGTTTTTGTGTTTACTTTTGAATTTCCAACGTTTTCACTCTGAATCACGTGGAAATGAAACAGGCTAAATTCATATTTATCTTAACTCTATCGGCGGCATCGATGTATTATCACATCTCATGGTCAGATTCACTAGCTCACTCTGTCAAAAATTATCGGCATAGATCAGAATTTATTTTCTTCACCTCAACCATGTCCATTCAAGTCCTCTACTTCACCACAATTTTTCCCACATAATCAACGTAGCCAAACCAAATTGTTTGTGCATCGTGTCAAAATTTTTTGAATTATAGGAAGGGTTTGAGGTAAACATGGCCATATTTGATAAGACAAAGCATGCTATGGATTAGCTTTTTTGACGAATCTCAAATGCGCATCTCAAATCTGGCGGACTATCCTTCAGGTTTCGAGTCAGTTTGTTTGTTAACTGTTGTTCGAAGACAAGCTTCGGACTCAGACCCACTTAAGAAGCCTTACATGGCTAGAAGTGCTGGGTACGCAAGTGCAAAGGTAGCGCCACCTTTCTACATCGAAACGCGTCACTAGGACCCTAGGCGCCATGGACTTCTAACAGACTCCACCAAACTTAACATGGTCCGCCCACCGTTCGATATCTTGTCTGCGTCGCCACGTTGATCTGCTATGCTCTCTCTTCTCGGACTTCTCTACCGCTCTCCGCGCTCACATTATCTCTCATCTCCCTGCCTGTCTTTTGAACTTCTCCACAGCATAGAGCAAAATGCTCGTATTTCCTGTGTATTTCAGGATTTTCTTTCCTTTTTTCTCCACTGGCGGTCCACCTCCCACCCTACTTTCACATTTGAGTGGAATGCCCTTACAGATTAATCCTCTTTCTTGCCTTTGAACGCTGCAGTTCGCGTTGCAAAAGTTTCACAGGAGTACTGGATTATGGACAAAACTTTCGCCACATGCTTATAACCCAAGTCTTGTGATTCTCCGAGTTTATCCTCAAATGCATCAACAGTGGTAGTAATACAGTGCGTACCAAAAGTATGTGGACACCCTGGAATCGATTCTCAGGGGTCAGCTAAAGGCTTTTATGTCATGAAACCTTCCACCATTCAACTCCTAGTGGTCGATAACCTACAATGATATTTTCGGCAAAAGATTTCGTTCTAACTTAGCGAACTATTTTTCATGGAAAGTTTTTTCTTTGTATCAAAATTATGTGGACACTTTTTGAAAAACGGCAATATCTTCAGAATCTGAAATCGGTAGGCCTACCAAAGTTTCTAGTAAGTTGAGCCATTCTGTTTGGCATGCTATGAACCGGGTCTGGATACATGTCTTGCAGATCTGTTCCCAACTAGCAAATTTCACCGACGTGTTAGGTCACTTGTGATATTACTCTTTTGTTCAATGACGTAGAGACCGCGAACCACGATACCTCTACGTTTTCAATAAGGATGAAGTCTGAGGAATACGCTAGCCGACTTGCCAATCAAAGCCGTTGCGTTTAGCATTTTTCCAAATGGAATGGTGTCAGGGACCTCCCCTGCAAAACAAGTGATTTGCGACCATGACTTTTCGAAAAAGGTTGTAGCCGGGACTCAAGCACCTCATTATAATCCTAGTTGTCTACCTAACATGTTGGCTAGTCAAACTGACAGAATAGCAAGGAATCAGCTTCTTTCTGCCACTCCAGTAGGTCTATGAAGAAAATTCCCACAGAAGGTATTTTATACTAATTTTACCATTCGCCCTCCTTTTCGAACCACCCCAGACCTTTGATGAACATCTTCCGAATTGTCTCTTCGAGCACATCTGCGGGTCCGACCAAAGTCTCTCCAAAAACCTCAAGACCCACCCGAATAGTAAGGAATAAGCTTCTTTCTGCCAGTCGAGTTGGTCTATGAAGAAATTTCCACAGAAAGTCTTTTATACTAATTTTACCATTTCCACGAAAGCACTGTCTGTGTGGGTTCAAAGTATCATGTTGTGATCCTTTTTTGAGTGGGAATTCCAACCTTGCCAACCTGAACCCGCATTCATATACAAAGCCTTCTTCATCTTCTTTCGTGTCGTGTGCTCAATTGATTGAATGAGACACCGATTGGTCTTTTTTTTAAGATCGGGAAGATCATTTATGCGTAAAGTTGAGTAGTACGAAAAGAAAATTTGAGAAAATTAAGGCTATTCTTCTGCTGTTTTGAACAAGTAGCGATTGAGAACAACCCTCAGTCAAGGTCGAGAGCTTAGCATCAGGATTTCGGATTTCTCTCCAAACCTACGAGGACGCATGACTGGTTGACGTGCTATTTCGCAATAGGAAGGTTCAGAAGCATGGGGATCCCATTTCTGTGCTCGGTCTTCTTCAGAAAAACGCTTGCCGTGAAGAGGAATGATGCCAGAATAAGTAACGAAAGGAGAAGTAAAAATAGGTTAGGAAATCGATGCAAAAACTTCATCTGCCTCAGGGTGTCCACATAATTTTGATACAAAGAAAAAACTTTCCATGAAAAATAGTTCGCTAAGTTAGAACGAAATAGGTTATCGACCACTAGGAGTTGAATGGTGAAGGTTTCATAACACAAAAAGCCTTTAGCTGACTCCTGAGAATCGATTCTAGGGTGTCCACATACTTTTGGTACGCACTGTAGCAGCGTGCAAAACTGTGGACAACCTAACAACGACCAACAGACGCAACGGTGATTTTCAGGGTCGCGCCTTGGGTTCGAACACACGCGATTATTCTTGCTCATGTGTGGTTGGCCATTGAAAGGTCCACTTTCTTTCTTTACCACTAGTCGACCGCAGTTTACGCTTAGACCAATTTGGCACTATGCACTATTCCTATATCTTCATTTCCTCACTTCGAAGATTTTGGCGCCCCTTCAAACGCTGATGGTAGTGATGGTGGTAGTGGTGTGAACTATCCCCAGGGACAAACTTCCAGCCAAGTTGAGACTATGAAGTCGAAGATGAAGTCGAAAAAGGGCCCAGTAAATGGTGCTATCCGCAGACAGCAATAATAGACTACCCAATAGGGACCATATTCAGCGCGTGTGTTCTGCGAGGAAGCGAGCCAGACACTTATTTGTTTTCTGAGACATTTTCATTTCCTCTTCTTCCTTACGTAAATGGTTTCCGTTGAGCTAATGCTGCGCACCCAAGAGTGCATAGGAATTAATAAATAAATCCGTCACGAAACCAGGTTTCGATGACAGCTAGGTCACTTTTTCCGAAATAAGCCCAGAATTTGACTGATATTCTGCTAGAAATTGGTTTCAAGGGGACGTTTTGTTACCTAAAAATGAATTTCATACCTATTTGGCACGAAAAATTTAATGCGTGTTTTAGAGGCAACGACAAATCATGAATTAACAGCAGCCAGACTCGGCGTGGGGTTACTTGCAAATTCTTTATCTATTCAATAATAAGCCAATTTTATGAAGTGACGTGAGCCCAAAGGTTTCAAGTCTTGTTGCTAGAAAAGCCAAGAAAGTGAACTTACGATGGTCTACTTATGACATTCTGCATGGGAACCCAGACTATATCGTTATAATAGTTCGTTTCATTACGTAGTCAAGAAACTGATTCGCAAAAGCAGATTCGAGGTCTGCGCCCAGAAATATTGTAGATTCCACGAAATACATCTAATCAAATATGGCCATTTTGGCCTGGAACTCTCTTCATGTGCTGTGTTCTTTTGTCAAATATAACCATTCTTCATTACTATCTGAGAGTAAGATCGAGTTACTTATAGGCAACATATTCGTTTTTCTATAATAGGGAGTTCTAGATGATTTTTTTTAATTATACGATTTTCTTATAATCAAATCGCATAGAATTGTTGATCGAAACGGCCATACATAGTATAAGCTCAAAATTCTAACACCTCTCAGGCTGGTGTTACAGTCCGCTGACACGAGTGAGGTGATCCCCACTATGTTGCGGTGTATGTTCTGCTTCTAGACGAGTTGCCACCTCCAATCCTCAACACCTACGACTCTGTTTCCAGTGTTCTTAAAAAGTTGTAAATCTTGGCAGCAGCTTCGATTTTCACAGTATGCGAAGCCGAGCTAAGGCTGGTGTCAGAGTCCGCGATCCGTCGCAGGTTTCGCTGATTTTCGCGATTTGCGCGATTCACGCGACGGGTCACGGAAATCACAAGTGCCCGATCAATACTGCAAGGTGTTCTCCAATCCTGCCGCCACTTCTGCTTGATAGTGATGGCTGAATGACGACTGCTCATGATTCCACTTGTTTCATATTCAGTGTTTCAAATGTTCAAATGGGGCACTTGCAATTTTTGCGATCCGTCGCAGGTTTCGCGCAAATCGCGAAAATCAGCGAAACCTGCGACGGATCGCGGACTCTGACACTAGCCTTACCCAGCAAAGGTACGTAGTTCATCCTATGTGTGGGCCGCAGAGTCCTCGATCCCTCCTTTGTCATAAATTACTTAAGGGCACTGGATATGATAAGTGAGTGCGCATCGAAGAAGTAAATGCTCTACCGGAAGATGCAGCCAGGGGCATATGAGGGACGGGGTGTACCGTATTTAAGACTAGCTGCACCTTTAGTGAGCCTTCAAATCAAAACGGCCCCGTTCTGGCCTCGTTCAAAATGCGCTCATCCTCATGTGGATTTCGCGATATTCCTGCAGTTCTAATAAAATTTTTATTTTGGTCGCGTATTTTGTATATCCTGTCCTCTCGATATCCTGTCGTCGAGAAACCTCTGAATAAAGAGTGACTTCTGAGCAGAGTCAACCCTGCGTTGCGCAGTTCGCAACGGCACGTCGAGAGATCCTCAAATC